ATATTTTTAAAAGGGAAAACTTCGTAACTCGGGTATTAATTTTGATCAATTCAATCTTCATGTTTTACGTTTCAAAATTTAAAAACTCGGGTGATAAATAAATAATTAAATATATTTTATTAATTAAATATATTAAGGTCACAATTACGTACTTATAGGTCACAACTTATTTATTAGTCACATATTATCAAATTAATTAGTCACAGATTATTTTACAGTCAGAAATCAAAAAAAATATAGGTCACAGTTTATTCGTCAATCACATATTTTCAAATTATTTGATCACAAATTATATAATTTGTCACAATTAAATGATTGGTCATAAATAATCAAATAGTTGGTCACAAATTAACTAAATAGTTGATCATATACACCAAACACTCCACTCCCACCTCCGATCTCGATCCACCACCAATACTTGATCACAAATCAACCAAATAGTTTGTCATAAACTCTCTTCTTCCCATATCGTCATCGCACCACCACCACAACTGCCAACATAAGCTATGACACCACCACCACCAACAACAACACTGACACTGACAATTTCACTGCCAACAACAATTACCCCAACACCAAAACATCAAAAACCACAATCACTAAAAAAAAACCAACAAAACCACCACCATGGATCATGGCACACCACCACTACACACTACCACCGTACCCAACCACAACACACAACTCTATCCACTTCCACAAATTCACCTTGGCAAACACCAACTTTGCCTTCCGATTCACTTCCACGGATTCATCGTAAGTCGCCTCCAAACTCGACAGCTCCACTATCTCGATCAACTCATCCTGTGCCGACGCAATTGGAGTGTCCCCACTTTTCATCGAAGCATCATCCGATTGTACAGACCACGGGCAAGGCAACAAGTGCGACTTCTCTCTGCGCCACACAGTGACTTCTTACACGCGTCTGCATCGTACAACGCTGTGAAGTGGTAGTCTACTGTGGCGATGTGGTTCACATGTAAGGAAGAGGGTAGAGAGTGACGAGAGAAGAAGAGTTTTGCGTCAACGGTTGGAGAATCGTGCGGACGATGGTGGCAATGGCGACTATGTTGATGGTGAGGTAATATCATGAAAAGAGAAAGGATAAAAAAGGAGAAGAGAGGGAAATGATGTTAGGGTTTGGGAGTGTGTGTAGGATGGGATGGGGGTAGGTAAATTAATTTAATTTTATATTATTATTATTATTTATAAATTGAATTATTACCTGATTTTTGGTTAAATAAACCTCATACCTAATTTTTGAATTAAAAAACTTAAATGCCTATTTTTATGTAATTTTCTCTTTTTAAAAGAAAATATAGATGCCCTAAAACCCTAGTTCCTAGAGACAAGCTGGCTGTGCATTTGCCAAATATATGTAATTCTGCATGCATGCATCTTCATACGTTACACGAAATAAACTAAGCTGGCGGTGAAGGGTAACTTTCAGTTTCAACCACAATTTTGTTGTGATCCTTATGTTGGATCTTCTTTGATTGTTTACTTGTTAAAGATTGAAACAAGTAATCGGATTTCTAGATTGATGTTTTTAAACAACCTAGTCATCAATTTGCAGGGCTGTGCTAAGGGTAGAATCCCATATTCCTTGAATATGAAAAATAAGGACTTGAGCTACTTCTCAAAAGTATATATTATTCGATGATAACTAAGGATCATCTTGTGTTATAGAAGAAAAAAATTTGTTTATTAATATCAATATATTTCTACGCGATGTATATGTGCATATTAGTTTTCATCAACCATCTTACAAGTATGGTGTATCCTAGCGTTCTCATCTCTTTATGGTGATTGCCCTCTTCTTATGGTTGAGGTTACGATTTTTCGCTTGAGGACTTCAACTTTATGAGTTATCAATAGAGACAGATTTCTCTTTAGCTGTCAATTGAAGCATTCGTGAAGGTAGACCGTTGTGACTATCTATGACACTCTCAAACATGTTAGACATCATCTTCCACTTGATCGAAACACAATTTCATACATATATCATGAGGGAAATCATTTTGTCAACTCACTTACAACTGGAGGTTGAGAACAACGTCATTCCAAGGAGTATGACCTTCCTCGTCGATTACAGACTCTGAGACAAATTGACACACATAAATCCTTACTATTAAAGGTTTCTAGTCTACTTTTGCTATTTTTATTTATTTATTATTATTATTTTTTGTACGGGAGGTAGTGCTTCATCATTGACTACTTTCTTTACATTTGTTGTTCTCTTGAAAGTTAGATTTACACCCCTTCCATGTATTCTTGCAAGTTCTATATATCTTGTGGTTGGGGGCGTTCTTACCCACATCAAGATTCTTTGGTAGCCTGAAAACATATTGAAGATGTGGTGATAATTTGCCTTAAAAAAACCATCTTACACGTCCAACTTTTTATCACATATAGGATAAGCACCTAAAACAACTAACCTCTGTTCAAATCAATTGAAAGTCACATACGATTGTAATGTCTAAATTGACAATTTTGATCGTATAGAACTCAAATTTAGATATTTAAATAAGTTGAAGATTCAAAACCTCACTTTAAAACATTAAATCTGTAATCACATCACATGAAAGTTTGGAGAGATCAATCCTATTTTTTCATAAAAAATTTATTGGGTAGGTTGTGGAAGCAAACTCCATTTGGGCCTGGTCTTTCATAATTTAAAAACTTGGGACCAACCCAAAATATTTCAGCCCATTTGTCCATTTCAACCTCTCGATGCTCAATCCAACAATTTTCTATTTGATAGAAATTAAAATCCATATTTTAATCTATGTTAGAGTCAACAACTAATTTTAATCACATATTTTATGAGATTCATAATTTTTTAATCACATATTTCAACAATTTTTATCAAAATTTACTAAAAAACTGATTTTAATCTGTACCAATTGGATAGGGCCAAAATTAGATAGTTTAGCCCCTGTTTAGCTCAAATTATTTGGCCAAAAGTATAAAAATTCTGACCGTTATTTTCAAAGAATTTGAATTTATGTGAGATAAAAAAGTCAAAGATGGTGGCTGATTTGATTGGCAACGGTGCATTTTTTTTTCTGCAAATGGAGCAAAAATGTGGAACAAACAAACTCTTATAGTTGTTAAACCCAACTTGAATTGAATTGATCATATCGGAAAGCGATGGACAAGGGAGGTAGCCGGGCCGATTCTTTAAATGAACCAAACAAAGCATCCATGAAAAACTAGATTGACCGAGTAAATCTGGTTGATCTAGTGACCCAAAAGCTATAAGTAGGATTTAGTGTCATTGTTTTGATCAAGTGATCATTTATTTAACAACTAGGAGTAAGCAACGTGCAATGCACGTTTGCTTAGTTTATATTTAATACTACAATACAACAACAAACTAAGGCTTTTCCCCATCAATTTTGGGTTGGCAAGAAACAGAAACATAGATAAGTTATGCAGAGCATGGAAGCTCCATTCTGAATAATCCAAGAGAA